ATTATGAAATATACATTGGTGTACATTTAAAGTCTGTGTCCTCCTGGGCACAGAGCTGGAGAGAAAATTGGCACACAACTCAATTTTTGCTCTGTCTCATGATCTGGATTTTTTGTTTTTTCTAAGCCTTGCTTTGGCTATCATAGGGTAAAACTTCACCTGTAGACATGGCTGCAAAACATACATACGACTCCTGGAGAAGTCATGGATACTGCCATGTAGTCATCATGCCCATTGTCAACCAGGAGTCACCCTAATGTGGATTTGTCTCTGTTAGGCTTCTGCCACAAACATTTGTCTCTGATTCTTAGGAATTGTTCACAAAACGGGGAACATAAGTCTTTGATATCTCATGGCAGTTCTCCCTTGCTAAAAAGAGTTAAAGTCACTTTGACAGTTAAGTCACTCTGAAGTCCACCCATCACCCACTGGTCTGGGAGTGTGAATCCCAGAATGCCTAATCTGTCAATACTTTAGAATATACTTCTGAATTCTTCTTGCCCATTTTTTAAAAGATGTGTTCCTTACATGTTTATATTTTAAATTTTTTCTTTTTCAGGGAAACAAAATAAAACCATAACTTGTACATAAGACCCTCACTTGCCCTGTTCTCAAACCCTCCCCCAGTGGTCCCGTTACAAGTTAACTTTGGTTTGATTCTGCAGGTATATAACCGAATTTATAAACCTAGGCAATGTTTCAGCTCTGCGCACTTTCAGGGTTCTGAGGGCTTTGAAAACTATTTCGGTAATCCCAGGTAAGATGGCCCGGGGTTGGTGTTAGGTGTTGGGTTAGGGCCCTGATGTGACGTATTGTACTTTTTGTTTTGTTGTGGTTCTGTTTTTTTTCCTTTGGTGTTTGTGTTGTGTCTGTGTTTGTCATTTGTGTCTGTGTGTGACCTCCCTTACTACAGATATGTGACAGAGTTTGTGGACCTGGGCAATGTCTCAGCGCTGAGAACATTCAGGGTTCTCCGAGCTTTGAAAACTATCTCTGTAATTCCAGGTGAGCAAATGCGTGCACAAGACCGGTTTTGCCGCACTCCTATTCTCCATTCATTTTGTTCGCCACATTTGAAACTGGTATCGGCACATTTGATATGGCCTGGCTCTCTGCATGCTATCCCTGAGAAACGTTCTCTGGAATGGCCCTTTGGTCCGTAGGCAGGCTTCTCTGCCCATGCTTGCCAGGCATGCAGCCCTCATTCCACCCATGCTTTGGAGAAAAGCACATGCTTATGAAGCTTTTGAACCTTACAGCATCCGAGGAGCGCTGTAATGGAGCAAGCTGTGTCTTTGTATAGGTTATCATTTGAATCATGGCCTCATGGAATTACAGTGACTGTAACATCCACTCCCATCCCATTGCTTGTGATTCCAGAGTTCCTGTAGCATGGTTTGCCAATTGCATGTTATTCAAAGACTTGTACTTTTACTGGTACCATACTAATGTAACCATTTAATCAAGAAGCGACCTAACCAGCTAACTAGTCACTTCAGACTAATTAAGATTTAAAAGTGTTGGAGTGAGTGAGCCAAATTTTAATAGTTACTGTCTCTCATACTTTCCAACTGTCGTCTTCAGTAGAATGAGACCAAGCAGACATCTTCTATGAGTAGACTCAGGGGTCACTCTCAAATGTAAATCACAACAAAAAGTGTATACAAGTGCCATATAAAGTCAAAGGTACCGTGTCAGCAAAAGCTGAGACACTTAGGGAGACAAAAGGAAACAAGACAGTGGGGTGAAAAATAGCTGAAGGACGATCTCTTGAAAATATTTGCCTTTTGCTTTCTCCTGTCTGGATGAGCTAGTCCAGTGGTTCTAAGTCTCTTGAAGGTTTTTGGTCCCTTTGAGACTCAAATGAAATTTCACAGGTACCCATCCATAGACACCTCCCACCACCCATCCATGCATCTCAGGTTAAGATTCCATAATTTAAATCATTGCAGGTGGACAATAACCTTTCCAAGAACTAACTGGTCTTGAAATCTAGAAGGAAAGATTTGTTTAATGTTAAGACTGGCAGTAACCCGGCAGAGGTGAAGGCACGTGTTTCTCTTTGGACTTTAGTTGTGGTCAGAGGTATTAAGGAACACTCCCTAGAGTCCAGCCTTTCCACTGTGTGATGTGGAAACAGGTGCTGAGCTCCATATTCTGATCTGTGGTCCATCCCTTGTGGCTGATTTCAGAAATAACTCTTTTACCCTCATTTAACATCGTGTCAGTGACCGAGGTGGGGAAATCCAGAGTTGCGAAGAGGGTAGATTAGGGTGTGATTTATCAGGAACCTCAGGGTACTAAGCCCTTAAGTAGGCCTTGTTCTGCAGCAGCTGGGATGCCAGATCTCTACTTTCATTTTCACTTTGGTCGCTTTCCTCCTCTGGCCCCTTTAAACATGATCCCATGTTTCCTGTCTCCCCCCCCACCCCCCAGCACTCTGTGCAGTATCTGTCTCTTCATGTTCCTGTGATCTCAAAACTTCTCTTCCAGAGTTCAGTGGAAAGCTGTGTTCTCTTTACTAACTGGGGCAGCAGATGCTGCCTTTTTTTGTCTCTGCTCTAGGGTTAACTTTGGAGCAGGGCATGTCTGCAAAGTGATTTTTGCCAGGATACTTATACTCTCTAGGTGTGTATGTGTGTGTGTGTGTGTGTGTGTGTGTGTGTGTGTGTGTGTGTGAATGTGAGCCGTGTCTATAACTCAGTGCCTGGTCCACAGCAGTGCTACATAAGTGGTTGTACTGGAAGCACTTACCGTAAAAAAGCCCCGTAAAAGGTTTGTGTCAAGATTTAGACACTAGCTTAGCAGTCCAAAGGAGATTCTCAGATTCTTGCTTCTGTAAGCGCTCCCAGTCAAGCTGACTGGTTTAAGGGTAGTAAAGCTAGGGACAGATCACTGTCAGCAAGAAGTTTTAACCTTTTGAGTTCCAACCCTTTGCTCTCCTTTCTTACTGTTTAGTGTAAGAGAGGCCAGTCATTGGCCTATGTAGAGTTCTGAGCTTATCTGTAATTCCCTGGAGGGCCGTTGTCCTATTCGTACCTGCAAGTTGTCCATGCTTCCTGCCAACGTGGGATTACTATGTCTGCATCATTGGATCAGGGTCTATCTCTTGCTTAAAAATCAGAGTTACTTTGATTCCAGCTTGTAGAGCCAGGACACAGTAGTTCTCAGTCAAAGCTAAAGCCATGCATATAACTTGAGAAGGATTTTGCTCTCGACCTTCTCCCATCTCAGTTTGCATCTTAGGCTTTCCCCACAGCTGTCCAAACTACAGAAAGGAAGCACGGAGGTGTCATTTACTTTTCTGTCACTGTGACAAAATGTCTGAGGATAGCAACTTAAAGAAGGGAACCAGTTTGTCTCACAGTCCACCAAGGTGGGGCAACAGGGGCAAGAGGCCACCGGTCACACGGGGTCCACAGCTGCCCCAAGGGAAGGCCTTTCCCCACCTCAGTGAAATCTGCCTGGCTACCCTCACAGACACACTTAGACAGTTGTCCCCTAAGTGATTCAAAATCCTGTCAAGTTGAGAATCAAGATCAGCCATCTTGAAGGGTCAGCATGGAAATGGCATGGTGTCTATAAGATCTCACAATGGTCTTGAAGTCTTTGTCTTTCATGAGAATTGTCCTGGCTGGTGCTGCATTCAGGCCAGTGTTGTGCCCAGGCCAATGCTCCATTTGCATTCTGCTGTTTTGAATATGTCAGTTCAGTCAGGTCTCTATACTACACAATAAGGTGTTTTAGTTCACAACAATCATTTGTATAAGAAATGTTCCTGGGCAGTGGTGGTACACACCCTTGAGACAGGCAGATCTCCGTCTGAGTTCAAGGCCAGCTAGGGCTGTTACATAGAGAAACCTGTCTCAAAAAACAGAAAGAAAAAAGAAAAGAAAGAAAGAAAGTAATGCCATAGAACCTTCATGACACTTGTGAAAGACCAAACTCACATTCTGAGCTTTCTTATTTGATGGGTCAGGACCCAGATGCAAGCCACTTGAGGCTTCTTTTTGTTTCTTTTTGTTTCAAAGGCACCATCTTTGGAAAAACAGTGCATATACACTATATGCTGAAAGAGTCTTTGGGCCAGAATTGGTGAGGTTCAACTTGACATTGAGCTATTCCGCCAGGAAGTCCGAGTCTTAAATCTTGTTTTCATTTTGCATTCATTGGGAGCCTCAGCAGAAGGTGAACTTTCAAAGGACTCCATCAGACATGTTACCTTCTGCCTGCCCTCACACAGTCCAGACTCACCTCTCAGGAGGTTTCCTGTTTCTCCTGGAGACGAGCAGAGCTGGAGCTGGGAGGGCTGCAGCTGTGGGTTCCTCTCCATTTCTGTCCTGTAAAGGCTCCCTGCCCGCACCCTCTGCTCCCGAATGCCATCTTGCTCCCTTCAGGGTCGTGACTCTTCCTTACTTTCCTCTTGGACATTCCATTTCTCTACTTTCATTTCTGCTTCTCCTACCCAATGAGATCGGGTCAGAAACAGACAGGAGGGGTGGCTTTTTCCTTCCTGCCCAGTTTTTACCATGCATCTTCCTTAAATGTATACATTGTGAGTGTGGCTGTTTTCCTGCTTAGCAACAGGGTAGAAAAGATACTTTAAGACTATATTCACTGATGGTTTCTTTCTTTCTATTTATTATGGTTTTTGTTTGTTTTTTCGAGACTCACTCTGTAGACCAGGCATACCTCGAATTCAGAGATCAGTCTGCCTCTGCCCCCAAATGCTGGGTTTAAAGGTGTGCTGATTGTTTCTTTTTAAATATTAAAGTTTTAAATCTCTCTTTTGTCCTTCTCTTCCTTCTACATTGCATATTAGTGGTCCTAAGTGGAAAAGGACTAAGAGAGCCAGCATCTGCAGGAGGAAATTGAAGAAGGCCTGCCTCACCCTTGGGACCAGTGCCCTGGCAGAACTGGGAGCTCTCCTTTCCCTCAGGCTGAAAACCACTTCTGACTGCTGCTGGGAGGAGTCCAATATTAATCTTGTGGGAAATTAGCTCACATTGCTTCAGACTACTTAAATTTCCCAACCTGTGCGACAAACAGGGGAATATGAATTAATTTCATTATAATTGGACCATCACAGCAACAGACTTGATCCCAACATGCATGGCTGATTTCTCCGGACACAGCACATTAGCCGGCTTTGCTCGTTTGTTCACTAGATCTGGGGGTATCATGTAAGGTGACAGGACGATCAAAGGTGCCTTTGGACACAGAGTGTAGTAGAAGCCTGCAGCACCAGCTTCTCCAAGTCCCTAACATCCCTGGAAACCTCTTAGGTAGCTGACCTTCATACCTTGGGTCTGTCCCACTGTCTTCCCAAGGTCTGTCATGAATGTACGAACTTCTGCTTCGGCACTTAGCAATGTGTGCTCATGTTCACTTCTCTCAGGAGTTCTCCCTGTCCAATTTGCCCCCACGTGGCTTCTGCTGCACACTCTGTTGTGTAGGAGTCGTTAGAAGGAGCACTCTGCTCTGTTTGGGGTAATTGGTTTTCAGTGAGTGTCTTCCTTGTTCTGGTGTGCAGTGGTGTGAGCCAATAGAAGAAGCAAGACAGCTTCTCTTCCCAGCCAGAACAGTGTCATTCTGCATCAGGTCATGAGTGCCATCAGGAGTCTCTCACCTAGCCTGACCAGTGCTGGTGGTGGTTGGTTATATTTTCTGTGCACAGCCACTTCAGGCAACCTTAGAGCTGGACTGTAGGAAACGCCATTCTTCAGTGACCCACCCAGCTGAGATGTCATTTCCGGCCATGTTTCCTCGTTTCCTCTTTGTAAGCTGAGCAGACTCAGCAGCAAGATGATATAAGCCTCAGACATGAGAATGCTTGAAGAAAGGGTTTTTAGCTATGTGGAGTTAGGTTTCCAGATGTCTTCAGCTGAGGCATCTGACTGATGGAGAAGGGACCATAAGCCACCTGCCAGTGACAGGCCTATCTCAAGGAAGTGAGTGCCAGGTCTAGGGTGGAAGCTCTCCTGGAAAGCCACGGCTCCATTTGTGCACTTCTGAGGTGAGCAGAAAGCAGAATGCAGATCCAGGAGACCCTAGAGACCCCAAAGTTCCTTGCTCCACCCCATTTTCTCCACAAGTCTGTTCTTTTCTTTCTTCAAATACAAATTCCTCTACTTTGACTGTCAGGAATGGCTAAAAGCGGGAGTGTTTGTATGCTGCCTAGAGATACAGATAAAGTAAAAAGATAGGAAAGGGGTCACTTAATATCCCCCCCAAAAAACCAAAAAAACAAATTCCTCTACTTTGTCAGGAACATCTTAAAATGACATAGTATGGCTGCTTCCAAGCTGTCAGTTTTATATATTAGTATTTCTGCCATGTGGTCAGATAACTGACTCTTGTTCTGCTCCAGATCCTTATAGGAAAGGGTCTGGATTTAGGTCAGATGTCCACCCTGATATCCATAAGTACCAAGAGAGAGTCACCTTGTACAAACAAAGCTGCTATCAGCACACCCTAAGGGACAGGGACAGTTAGAGCTTGTGGCCTAGAATTTCTTGTGATACAGACTTGGAACTCCCAAAGATTTCCCGCCCTGGAAAATCAGGTCAGACTCATATGAAATTATGATTTATTGGTTGATTCATTTTATTTATGCCAAGACCTTTTGTTTTGTACATTTTGTAGTTTGGAGCCCTTCTTGCTATTGGAAGTAGCAGCATCCTTTTGATTCAGTTGAAATAACAATGCCCAGGGCATTAGATGATCACCCAGTGTCCAGATGGATTCTTGTCTGGTGTCTTTAAAAGGGGCAGCTATGTAAGCTCTTTATGTGATGAAACATGGCAGCCATTCTTCAGTGACCCACCCAGTTGTTCTCTTTGAATCACTCTTCAGCAGCTTAGACGCCTGAACTTGAACCACTGGCCCAGTGCAGGCCTACCCCAACCCAGTCAAAATACAATGAGAAATTTCCGTTTTCAGAAGTGGTATGGAACTCAGTTGTTAACTCTGAGACACTCCTTGATGACCGCCTTCTACTTGATGTGCCTCACGGTGTGATCACAGGCCTTGGGCATAAAAGATCTTTGATATCTCTTTCCTGAGTCTCCTCCCTATCTGTAAAGACTCTGAGAGGAAATTCATCATCTTCTTTCCTGTCTGCCCACCGTGTGCATATCCCACGGGAGAGAACTGAGGCTCTGAGAAGTGACCTTAAGGTCATTCTGAACCATGGTGGGTTATAATAGTAACTGAACTTCTCAGTGCCCAGCCTGCTCCTCTGCTGCACAGCCCTGTGGGATAGAGTCTAAGTAGAAAGCCATGTCTCTGGAACCTGGCAAGCTCTCTGCTCCTTGGTTCTGTAGCCTCCAGGGAAGGCCACACTGTAAGAAGGCCCAGCCCTCCGGACACTTTCCCCCTTACATGTATTTGTGATTATCTGTAAGAAAAGATAAAAGTTCTCTATTATCTACTCTTTCAATAAAAATTTATGAAACTGCCTGATTTGTGCCAGATTCTAGATCAGGCACAATGTCCATTGCTGCTATCGAACTCAGGAAGAAAGTTCTGCTAAGCTTAACTCTAACCATTTTAGATGGTCACTTGAAAAATGCATGGGTCCAAAAAGCATGTCCAAACACCCATTACATCACCATCACATGGGGTTAGCCCTGAGCATGGACTTTATCCCAGCCAAGTCCCTCTGAGGGAGCCCTAAATATAGATTAATGAAATGTGACACATGCCCTGTGTCATGTCCTGCATTAGATATTTTATATTTGTTATTTTACTTAAATGTCATGACAATTAGAAGAAATTAGAATTGCATATATTTACAGATGAATAAATTGAGGCTCAGACAATAATAGTTAACCTCCTTCACCATGCCCCAGCTGCTCTGGTAGTGTGAACACACTCAATCCTAATGGCAGTCTGGTGGTCAGCTGCGACTGTCTGTATTTACTCACTTATTTCTGGTGGTGCTGAGGATGGAAACCAGTGCCTTCCCTGTGCTAGGCGAATGCTCTGCCATCTAGCACAGCCTCCTTCTAATCATCCTTTTAAAGGTGAAAATGCTGAGAGCCCAAAGGGTTAGTTGTACCGCTCAGATGATATGTGTAAGTAGCACACCTTGATTAGGATTAGTGAGGAGCCACCCAACCAGGGCCAGCAAAGATCGCATCAGCTGTCCCTGGAATGCCAGCCTCGTATTCTTGCCATCAGAAGTTGATCAAGGTTGACCTCCTCCCTGAGCCTACATGTCAAGGCTCAGAGTCTCTTCCTCATCTTGTACACTGCAGGGGTGTTCGTGTTTTGTGGTCCATGTCCTACAATAGCCTGCTGTTAGGCATGCTGAGGATTGCCACATGTAGACTCTTTTGGCTCAAGTACCGTAAACCTATAATTATATTTTTATGTGTCTCCCATCATTGATATTTTCCTATGCAATGTGGAAACCGTTTTTCAGGTTTAAATTTGAAACCATTGTCTTGCATTTTAAACCTCAAACTGGAACTGGTATAATATAACTCCTTGGGAAGCATGTGCCCAGCATGCAGAAAACTTTGAATTCCCAGCACCAACCACAAATAAAATATAACAAAACCTTACATTAAAATGAGTTACAAGTGTCTCATTTTGACACAAGGAAGGTTACTGTGGCAAGAAGGACATGTACTTTTAAATGGAAAGACAAACTGTGAATACTGCATTGATAACACTTAATCTTTTCAATACATTGGCATTTCCAGAGTTCTTCAGAAACGATATTGTACCTTCTTGCTTACTGGCTTATAAACTATCCAGTGGTTCCCTTTCCAACTTGGAAGCCTCCTTAATCCCTGATCCTTTTTGATTTGTTTACTCAACAAATATTTATTGAGAGTTAGACACTACAGATACAACTGTGGACAAGACAGACAGAAAATGAATAATAACCATGACAGAGGCTACAGGGGAGACTAGAAGGCTCTGCTAAAGCAATAGCAATGGTAGGAGAGGGAGGCAAGTTGGGGAGGCAGGGAGGGCATCTCAGGAGGGCATCAGGAGACCAGAAGGGGGAGGCAGAGTTCGGTGGGGAGGGCAAGAGAAGGAATGGAGGATTTGGGAGGAGGGAGCAGCATGTGTGCAGGCCCTGGGCAGAGGGAAGTGTGTCCAGGAAGAAGGAAGCCACATGCTAATAGAAGCGGCTTCTTCTGATACTTTTTGAAAAGGATTATTGGCTTAGAAATGGATACTTTTAGAAACTGACAACACTACCTACACATTCTTATTCTGTGTGAAAATATGCAGTTTCCATATTTCAAGGGAGATACTGTGGGAGAGTTAGAGGTAGGACTAAGTGGGGGGCGGGGGCTAGGGAAAGTAGGGAGGACTTTGACTATGTTTTGGGGGGCTCTGTCTCTTCAGGCCTGAAGACAATTGTGGGCGCCCTCATTCAGTCTGTGAAGAAGCTGTCAGATGTGATGATCTTGACCGTGTTCTGCTTGAGTGTTTTCGCCCTGATTGGCCTGCAGCTGTTCATGGGGAACCTTCGAAACAAGTGTGTGGTGTGGCCCATAAACTTCAATGAGAGCTATCTTGAAAATGGCACCAGAGGCTTTGACTGGGAAGAGTATATCAACAATAAAAGTAGGTGTCTCCTCCACTGCAAGAGCCAAGCTTGACCCCAGGTTGTCAGGGGCTGCAGCCGAGCTACACAAAGTGATCTGGCCCAGAAAGGCTCAACACTGCCAGACTCAGCCTGGGACACTGTTGCCCTGTCTCCAAGGCAGGCTTGTGTGGAAGCTCTCAAATCCTTTAATATTATTTTTATTTTATTGTATTTTTAGACAGGGTCTCACTCTGTAGCGATGGCTGTCCTGGAGCTTGCTATGAGACCAGGCTGGCCTTGAACTCACAGAGATCCACCTGCCTCTGCCTCCCAAGTGCTGGTGTGCACCTCTATGCCTGGTTAAGCCTCAGCCCTTGAAAACCATATGAATGCAGAGAATGTCCTCACATGCACCCTTAAACTTCTGTTTTAGAAGCTGAGTAAGCTTTGCCTTGCTGGTTTACATGAAACAGTTAAGCATTCAGTCTAGACTATGCTTATGAACCAAAGCTCTTTGATGCTCATAAGAGCTTTGCAATAGAACTTGTCTAGGGAGTCAGGTGATCGCTGAGATGCTATTTGATCTTACTACAGTTGAAGAGTTTTAATAACTTCATTTGAGGAATCAAAGCTCTGGGGTCTTAAATTAAGGAGAATTTGGTGTAATGCTGTTTCTATTAACAACAAAAAAGCAATATCACCACTAGTCACTCAAGAGAAATAAAGTCAATTAAGTAGCCTCAAGAAAGTGTTGCAAAAGAGATCTCAGGGACAGAACCTTCTGATTTAAAGTAGGACACGGCAACTAATGTCTAGTACAGCATTTTAGAACATCTTGATAAAAATATTACAAGGATAAAAGGATAAAGTTGTATAAAGGGACAAAGATCTTAGAAACTTACTTTAGAACAGTGGTTCTCAACCTATGGGTCATGACTCATTTGGGGGTCACTTATCACATCCTGTATATCAGATATTTACATTACAATTCACAACAGTAGCAAAATTACAGTTATGCAGTAGCAATAAGATGATTTTATGGATGGGATTCACCACAACATAGGAACTATATGAACAGGTCGCACCTTCAAGGAAGGTTGTGAACCACTGACTTAGACCCTTTAATCCAAGTAGCAGAACCTGGCGAGCGGAGCTGAAATCCTGGGAGTCAGGTGCCTGTGACTCCAGCACCACCTCAAGGGCTTTTTGCGTAGCTCTTGGCTTTAGACACATGCAGGAGATCATTAATGGGGGGAATTCTCATTAGCTTTCTGTTGTTGGGAAGGATTTATATGAGCTAAAAATCAATAGCTGCTGTTGTTGGCAAGCTAGAGACTGTTGTCACCTTATTCTCTCATTCACTGAAATCTGCCTATTCATTTCCTGCCTCTTCCAACATTTCCAGCAAACTTTTACATAGTTCCTGGCATGCTAGAACCCTTGCTCTGTGGGAACAGTTCTGATGCTGGGTAAGTAGCTCACTTAATGTTGTTTTTCCTTAGTGTGCCTAGTATTGGTTGGGTCTAGATGAGCAACATCCTCACTTTCCTTGTGCTCACTCACTGGCCCCACACATGGGTCTGACCCAGACTTTCTTTCCATTTCATATTTGACCATCTTTGAGAGAGTTGAGGTCTCACTAGAAGGGGAATGCACCAGTAATCTCAAACTAACATCAAAGCTGTGGAATGATAAGGGAAACTCTGTAGCATCCAATGACTTATCTGTCTCTTTATTGACCCTCTCATCCTCTGTTAACACAGTTACTACAATGTGAAACAAGGATGCTGTCTTGGTAAGAGTTCAGCATCCAAGACAACCCAAAGTACATTAGATCTGACATGATGGGGAAGGAATAGATAACCAATTTAGATTCAGCTCCTATTGGAGCTCTAAGAGTGTTGCCGAGCCATCCAACCCATTCACGTCTCGATTTCCTCCTCCATCAAGTAGCTCTAATAAGCTATGTGCTCTTCCTCACAGGGTTACTGTAAAGGAGCCTGTTAAATAATATCCACACAACTGTTCTGTAAACACATGTAGGGTGGTAATGGTTCACTCAGTGCAATGGTCCCCTAGGATCTGCTGTTTTAAAATGATCCTGACACCTAGAAGTCATGAAAAGTTCTATATTGAAGTAGATGCTAGAAATTACATTAAAAGAGACATCGGATGAGTCCAAAAGCAGGAGAAATCATATAATTGACTTATTGAAGTCCCTATAACTTGGGCCAGTGCAGCAAATGTTACAAGAACAGACAACCAAGAAGAACTTAACTCCTAAGTATTTGTCATTGACAATAGTAGCTCATTTGAATTAGTAATTTATCAATTAATAATTTGATTGAAATTATACATTGATATGGATCTATGCTATCACAAGGCAATAGTTCTTACTCTTGGTACATATACAGCCACCTGGCCTGTCTTTAAAGAGCACATCCATGGGTTCTGCCCACTGAGCTTCCAGCACCTAGGTGTGCACAGATCTTAGCATCTGTATCCTTTTGAAGACTGCCGGGTCACTCAGAATCTAGGCCTTCCCCAAACATTGACTAGCTGTTATTTCCTTCTTTCCTGCCCCCTACCCCACCCCCATCTCTCTCTGGTTATTTTTCTTCCAGTTTTGTTGTCCTGGCTGTAAAGGTGACTATTTCTATCTTAAAGGGCATGGAATAGATGGGTTTGTGTAATCTATTATTTCCAAGGTCATGAGTTGGTAGGATTATTTTTGAAAAACCCTAAACTTCCTTTCTCTCTCATTCTGTGTATGTGTGTGTGCACGTGTATGCACATGTACATGCAGATATACGTGTGTGTGTGTGTGTGTGTGTGTGTGTGTGTGTGTGTGTGTGTGTGTGTGTGTGTGTGTGTGTTGCCAGGAATAAAATTGAGGGACTTGAAGTTACTTGGTAAGTCTCATCCCCAGAGCTGTTTCCCATCCCAGTGTATATCCCTTTCTTTCTTCAGGCAATGCCCAGAGGGATACCAGTGTATGAAAGCAGGAAGGAACCCCAACTATGGCTATACAAGCTTTGATACTTTCAGCTGGGCCTTCTTGGCATTGTTTCGCCTTATGACCCAGGACTACTGGGAGAACTTATACCAGTTGGTAAGTAATGCCTCTTTTTCTTTAGTGATATAGTCCACATGAGGATATGATGAGTGGGGAATTATGATGTGACAGACCTATTGTGAAGACACTAAATAGGATCTGAGAATGGCATCTCCCACACAGCAGGATGGGTGAGTTCACCCAGCTCTCAGCCCTGATTCTTGAATGTTTAGTCATGGTCCACTGTAGCTTACACCTTGACAGCCTCAGGCTGGCCTGGAGGTTTGCACCCTGCTGCATCCTTGCACTTCACTCTCTGCAGTGCATTTTCTTGGGGTTTCAGTGTTAGAGCATCTAAGAAATAGCAAACACTCATTTGTGCAAGGCATTTTCCAGTATTAAAATGATGGAATTTCTATGCATAGGACCTTGAAGCATGACTTAGAGCTGTAATTTTGGACTTGTATAGGTATGTGGTATGAGTGAGAATAAGGCTGGACCCATCCTATGGGGCCACACTGATGACTTCAAGTGTCTTCTAATTTCTCAAGTCATAATGAGGAAATTGGTGTTGCTGATGATCCCATAATGATCCATTGTTTTCTCTTTGACTGTGGTATCTGATGATGCTGGCTAATTAGAGAATAACAAATAATTCTCTCTTGCAAAAGGGAATCTCTTTAAGAGAGGCTTCTAGTTCCAATCCCCAAGTCAGTTCTTACTGTTGGGCGTAACAGACACTAAATTCCATTATATCCTTGCTAACTGAAAGAAGAAAGAGCCAGGTCTGTGTTATGGGTCTGCAGTCCTGGCACTCAGGAAACAAGGGCAGGAGGATCACTGGGAGTTTGAAGCCAGTCTGATTTACATAGCAAGTTCTATACCAAACAAGGCTACATTGTTAGACCTTGTCTTAAACTGATAGAAGATAAATAGAAGATAGATAGATAGATAGATAGATAGATAGATAGATAGATGATGGATGGATGGATAGAGAGATAAATGATAGAAGATAGATAGATGATGGATAGATAGATGATAGATAGATAGATAGATAGATAGATAGATAGATAGACAAATAGATAGATGGATAGACAGATAGAATATTTTTCTATGAAAGCAAAATGCAGGGGATATTTTCTCTGCAGTGGAAGTGAGGGTTAAGCGTTACGAAGGCATTTGATCACTGGGATATGGAATTGGTGCAAAGTACCATACATTGAAGCTCTGACCTACCCAGCCAGCAGTGGTGTCTGCTGAGGAGCTGGGCTTACACTGTGTTTTCATCCTGTTTTGTTTGATGGAAATAACTAAGGAGATGGCCTTTGTCTTTCAGACCTTACGAGCAGCTGGGAAAACATACATGATCTTCTTTGTCTTGGTCATCTTTGTGGGTTCTTTCTACTTGGTGAACTTGATCTTGGCTGTGGTAGCCATGGCTTATGAAGAGCAGAACCAGGCAACATTGGAAGAGGCTGAGCAAAAAGAAGCTGAGTTCAAAGCAATGCTGGAGCAGCTCAAGAAGCAGCAGGAAGAGGCCCAGGTGGGTGACTCTGTGCAGCGGCCTTAATCATGATGATGGTGCTGAGCTCCAGCTGATTGCCACTGCAATTGCTCCTTTATTGACTATCTCGGCTCAGTGTCCAGCTGCTGTGATGACTGGGAAGTCATCCACTTACTCACTACTGATGGGTAGTTAATGCAGTGCTTCAGTAGTCTGCTTTGTCTACTGACCTGATGCTGGGGATTAAACAGAGCTTTGTGCATACTAAGCACAGGGCCTCTGTACCCCCAAACACAGCCACTTGTACGGTGGGGGAGGGGGGGACACTAAGATGCCCTTTAAGGATTCCCTATGGACATAGAGTATTATTTCTAATTTAAAAGAAAATATAGGGAGAGAATCCTGTTAATTATAGTTCTTGCCACACAAGCATGAGAACCTGCTTTTATCCCCAGAACCTACAGAAAAAGCCAAACATGATGGCTTATATTTGTAAGTCTAGCCCTGAAGAGGCAGAGACAGGTGGATCCCAGGTATCCCTGGCAAGCCAGCGTAGCCTATTTGGTAAGTTCTAGGCTAGTGAGAGACTCTGTCTCAAAAAAACAGGGTGGATGGGAGCCTATGTTCACCTCTGGCCTCAGCTGAACATACTGGTTCATGAGGACATACATGTGCACACACACACACACACACACACACACACACACACACACACACACGCAAATAAATAAATAAATAAATAAATAAATGTAATTAAATTTACTGGGGAAAAGCAAATAATAGTGAGAAGGCTTGTGGCATAGTAAACTTCAAAGCAATACATGTAAATGTGGAATGCAAAAACCAACTTCATAAAAGTTGTCCCTTTGATCTCTGTACACAGACACACATGTATGTACACACATGCATCATGCACATATATGCAATAATAATTTTTAAAAATTAAGATAATGATATCGGCCAAAACTTAAATTTAGACACAATTGTGATTCTATTACTCTTACCATTTATCTTTTTGCTTGTGTATATTTACATATACATAATGCATCTATATGTATTATTTTGCAAAGTTTGCCTGATACTATGTAGTATGGGTTCTAAGCATTCATTTACATTGTTACTCACTAAGGAATATGTTGTATGAAGAAGGCAACCAGGTCCTTATCTGGGATACTCAGAGTAAATTCCAGCATGCTTGCCATGAGTGCTCTGGTCACTCAGGCCCGTTTACCAGGATACAAGTTCACCCAGAAGGTGATAGCTGCCAGTGCTGACCACAGCCTCCTTCTCAGGGCAGACTCATGTCCTTGTCTGTCAGTGGCTGACTCGGGTGGCTCCAGATAACAGTTCTGACTAGGTCTGTCGGTACGGCCTCTTTCCTAGGCTGCTGCAATGGCCACTTCAGCAGGCACTGTCTCAGAAGATGCCATTGAAGAAGAAGGTGAAGATGGGGTCGGCTCTCCACGGAGCTCATCTGAGCTTTCTAAACTCAGCTCAAAGAGTGCCAAGGAGCGTCGGAACAGGCGGAAAAAGAGGAAGCAGAAGGAGCTCTCTGAAGGGGAGGAAAAAGGAGACCCCGAGAAGGTGTTTAAGTCTGAATCGGAAGATGGTATGAGAAGGAAGGGCTTCCGGCTGCCAGACAACAGGATAGGGAGGAAGTTTTCCATCATGAATCAGGTAAACTCTTTGCATTGTCTCAGATAAGCCTAAAGAACTCTGCTTTCTTTGTTTCCTTTGCAGCTCCCAGACTCATCCTGCACTGACCTTCCTCCCCAGGTGAAAGCCCCACCAACACTTTGCAAAGACTCCTTTTTAATCTGGCTCTTCCTCTGCTGCTCACAGCAGCCATGTGATCATGACCATCGTTGGCAGCCTTGCTTCACACTGGTGATTACATCACACTAGCAAGCCTTGGGGTCAAACACCAGGAGGGGCTTTTCTCCTATTTGTGGCAGAACTTTTCTAACTGTGTGTGATTGCTGCTGATAATAGCTGTTGTGAAGGTCTAGGACATCTTATTTGAGTATGGCAATTAATTTCTAGCAATTAATTGTTGTGGCCATACAGTATTGTAAATTACCCTGTAATGTATTGAAACTTTCATTTTTATCCAGCTTTAATAAATGTGGAAACCAAGAATAGGCAAAGAAACTGTCAGTTACTTATCATTTTATTATTGTAAATATCAGCTTATGGTGGGCCACTTAGAATTTTAAAGATATTTGGTGACCATTTAATTCCCATTTTAGAAAATACTGCAAACTTGCTAGGTGTGGATAGAGCACAGTTAGGGGGTAGGGGGCAGTGTATCCAGTGTCTTTTGTTTTATTCAGAGATGAATCATCTTGCCTTTGCCTCTTTTACCTCCCCTTAGGTCTTTCACCAGTCCTGCACATTTTGTCATGGCAAGTCTTTCATGTGCACACCTGTCTTGGTGTTCCCATTAATCTTGGCTTAGCTCAGGAAGTTTTTCCACTGCAGTTGTGTCTTCTTCAGTTTTTCTCTCTCTCTCCTTTTTGTCTTGTACTGTCAACAGATCATTTTCTAAAATATAATTCTCATTGTTCATGTAGCAAGAACTTATGGAGTATCTACCAAGAGTCAAGGATGGTCCTGGGTCCTAGAGATTAAGAGATGGTTAGACCTCAGCCCTGCCCTCGGGTTCTTACTATGGCAGCCAGATATAGTGTGTGTGTGTGTGTGTGTGTGTGTGTGTGTGTGTGTGCGTGTGTGTGTGTTACATATATTTTTCCATAAATGAAACATAGTAGGGTTTTGGTTTTTTTTTTTTTAATTGTATGTCAGAACTTTCTGGAAAAGACAAATTCTGAATGAGGCTTCAAGAAAGGATAGACAGAAATTAGTCCCAGATAATGGATGTGTGTGCTGATGAGGCAGAAGCAATAGACAGGAAAGGATGCTGAGTATATTACAGCTTAGACATACCAAATTTGAGTTTGTTGACACCACTCAGGAAGAACAAATCAGGTGAAAGAATGCAGGCTACCGACATGACTGTTGTTCATGGAGTAGGAGCTGAGATGTGGATGAATGGACAGGAGGGGTGCTAAAAAAACAGTGAGTTTGGTGGACTATGAGTAGAAAGGTTGGAGAATACAGGGCAGTAGTCAGTTGACTAGAATTGCCCAGAGTTGCCTAGTGAAATCTGAATTGGAAGTATCTCTTCGATCTGGCAGCAGAAGTCATTGAGAACTTAGTGATACGATTTCATGCAGAGTGAAGATGGGTGCCATACTGAGTGAAGAGGAGACAATGAATGTAGATTTAAAGAGTTTGTGTGAAAGCTTGATATGGTGGCACATACTGGTAATTTCCTTTTTTTTTTTTTTTTTTTTTTTTTTTTTTTTTTTTTTTTTGGTTTTTTGGTTTGTTTTTTTGTTTTCTGAGACAGGGTTTCTCTGTGTTGCTTTTGGAGCCTGTCCTGGAACTAGCTCTTATAGTCCAGGCTGATCTCAAACTCACAGAGATCCACCTGCCTCTGCCTCCCAAGAGTTGGGATTAAAGGCATGTGCCACCACCACCTGGCCATACTGGTAATTCAAGACTCAGATGGTTAAGGCAAGAGAATTCCAAGTTCAAGGCCAACATGGGTATGTAGTAAGACCCTGTCTCAAGAAAACAACACGCAGCTGACTATAGTGGCACATGCCTTTAATAGCAGAATTGAGGAGTCAGAGGCAGGTGGATCTCTGAATTCGAGGCCAGCCTGGTCTACAGAGTGAGTTCCAGGACAGCCATGGCTACAGAAAGAAACCATGTCTCAAAAGAAAAGAAACAATACACATAGCTGCAGAGTTGGGTCAGTGCTTAAGATCACTGCTCTTCCAGTTTTCCAGCATACCCTCTTCTGGCCTCCACCAGCACTAGGCATGTACATAGTACACAGACAGACATACAGGCAAAACACCCATACACATAAAATAAAATTTCAAAATAAATAAACACAAAAGAAAGCATGGATGAAAGTGGCATTTTTTAATTTTTTTTATAATGGGGGGCAAAAGCTGGCAAAGTCAGGTTAGAGATGAAGTATAAAAGAATAGAAGTGGGTGACAGTCTTGATGACAGGAAATAGATGTAGCTGTTAACAGGAAAGGGACACCTTATCCCTTCTTCCTTGAAACCTCAAGAAAATAGGCGAGGGCAAAGCCAATGTTTGTAGACAAGAAGGTGCTCCCTGGCCATTTTAATTTTTCCATATCATAGAGAATGTAAAATCTTATCAAAGGAAATGAGAGCTTGAATTGGATGTTAAAGAAAATATTGATAGTTTAGAATAGTTGACTTAAGAAGAATGAGAGAATTTCCCTAACAAGAGAAATGCTTTGTCATAGAGTTTGTAGCACCACCTGCACCAGTCTGGATGCACACAGTCCATCCATCCTTCCGTCTCTAGTCATTGGGCCCCATCAGGCACCCAGTCCTTAATCCAGAACAAACCACCAGATACTCTCCTATTTGATATTTGTTTTCTACCTTGCGTGGAAATGCCCTAAGAGTTGTCCCATCTGTAAAAAGTCCACATCACAATTGTTCTTCACATCTTTCTGTGAAGAATTGTCCCCTGGCCCCTTGGCCCCCAAAGCAGTAGTCTCTATTCCATCATGTTGTGTATGTATCATGTTGCTTTTTAGTGTATGTAAAAAGCATATTTATTTATGTTCATAGCCTCTCTTCTATTGAAGTCTGAAGTCCCAGCTTTTGTACCCATGGCTATCATTCAGATACTGCTGGCCAAAAGAATGCAGGACATGTAGAAACGTGACTTCACTCCCTCTAGAATGTCATAATGCCCCACAGACAGCCACCTCAGTGTCACCTTCATCGCCTCTCTCCTGCTCCATTGAGGACTGTGATTGCAGCTTTGTTGTAGCTCTGTCCTTGTCTTGAGCACATCGCTGCTCTCTGTAATGAATACCTCACTGCTCCTGGGCTTGGCTATTGAATACTCTCTGATTAATCTATAGGCTTTACCAGAGTCACATTGATTTCTCCCTCACTTAGAAAATAAAACTGGGTTCCGAGATGTCCTGCTTTGCATGAAAGTGTTCGCTTCCTCTAATTTCTCCATTTGAAAAAAAATGAGGATTGCTCTTGGCCATGGCTGACTGCCAAGACTAGCTTAGACTTAGATGCCCCACATGGCAGCAATATTCTTTGTCCTGGAACTCGCCTGCAGTTTCTCTGACTGTATTTGGAAGGGCTGAAGGAAATGAAACCTAGAGAGACTTGCTAATGTATTCAGGTTATGACACTAATGGGCCCTTGAGCCATGATTTGGACTCAGTTCCCTCTACTCTAGAATTTGTGGCCCAGCCATTCTTCCTCACTGGTACACAGACATGGTTTTAAGAATTTTCAGTTAGCCATCAGTGGTGGTACACACCTTTAATCCCAGCACTCAGGAGGGAGAAGCAGGTGGATCCCTATGAGTTCAAGGCCATTTTGGTCTACAGAGTGGGTTCCAGGACAGCCAGGGCTACACAGAGAAACCCTGTCTCAAAAAACAAACATTTTTTTTTTCAGTTTCCCATAGCACCATCCAGCTATGTGTCTGTTTCTTCACTGTTCCCGAGTCTCCCATCTCCCTGCTCCCTACTCATTTCTCTCCATTTTCAGGGTTCATGGCAGTTTAGTAAATACTATGCTGAAGCTGTGTTTTTGTTTTGTGAAGTGTGTTTATTCTGTTGCAGAAGTTTTCAAATCTGTATGATCTTAGAATACCTTTATATCTTTCAAAATTACTGAGGGGTCAGTGAGATGGCTTAGTGGGTAAAGGACTTCATTGCCAAAGCTGATCACCTGAGTTTGATTCCTGAACCAAACTGAACAGATTCCCATGAGTTGCACACATGTGCACAACAGTGCACACTCGCACGCACGTGTACACACACACACACACACACACACACACACACACACAGTACATGTAAAAGTGAATGAGTGCCCCAACAGCTTTTTTAAGAAGTATTTTAGTGTATCTCATTATAAATTATATTTAAGAAAATTTAAAGATTCTTATTTATGTGTATATTTTAAACTTCCATGTGCTGATATGCAAAAATCCTTGGCTGTTTTGTACCCACAGTTCTTAAACCATGAATAATAGTATCTTGCATTATTCTTTACCAAACTTTGGACCCCTGCGCTACACAGATCTTCCAAATATTAACATAAAGTATTAAAAATCTAAAAAGTCTTCAAATATAGCAAAAGTACCAGCCCACAGTATCAGATGCTTATAAGAAAATAAGATTGATTAAAGTGGTTATCATATCAATATCATCATCAAATGGTTCTGACCTGGGGAGGGTGGTTGCAGAGCCCCTAGGAACCACTGGAAGTCTTCAGATCACATTCTAGGAACCACTGTGCTAATGGAAAGCCAAACGTGAGATGAAATGAAGTATAGCATTTAAAACCACCTGTCTATTTATCATATTTCAAACAGCCAGTGATCACAAGCCTGTGGGTAGCTACAGATTTGTGTGTGGAGAATGTAAGGCCCATCCTGTAAGTCCAGCGCACCCAAGAGCTAGTCTCCTAAGAAAAATCCACAGAGGTCCATTTCTTAAGTAGCTATGCTGTGCTCATCAGAGAAGAGCCAGGGCACTTAGTTGGTTGATAAGAATTTCGAAAATAAGAAGGAAAACCTATTCGTTTCATAAACCTGATTGGATCCCAGGAGTTGGTAGAGCCACAGCCTTGAGATACAATAGGTATTTTTATTAACTAGTATTAAATTTTATTGTCAAATAAAATATTGTTCTTTAGGTGGCAGTTAATTCACAAGGCAGTGTCAATGAAACATGATTCAATCCAAGGGGAAAGGAACCCATTACATGTGAGCATGGCCAGTTTGCAGTGTATAATCAGAATACAAGCCATGTAATCTAGTTATATCTACTATATACAAAGCAGTTCAAGAGAGACATTGTGCCCTTAAGGCGCTTGTAGGTGGTTTCCAAGGAGATTTAACAACAACAAAAAGGCTGCTGCACCTGGAAAGAGGGGCTGAGTGCTGGGCAAGGACTAAGGGAGTTAACAGGAAGATACAGTCGGCTGAACAAGGGGAAGGAAGAGTGTGGCAGCAATGGAAAAGGGACCCTCCTGGAGGCTGGCTGGCTGCCTGGTGCACATTTGAGGGAAACAATGAAGCTAGGTAAAAATGCAGTCAATCTTGGAGGAGGCTTGACTGCCCATCCTAGTTATCAAAGATGACCGTGGGAGATAGCAAAGATGTTCCTGTTTAGTTTGTCCATCTGTCTTTCTAGTGAGGCCATCAGATTTTTGTGCCACTACGCAGTTTATTAAGTTTCTCTTATATCCACCTTCATAGTTGCTTTTGGGTGTGCCTTTTATTCATAACTTAATCAATCCAAAGCTACTGTCGCTAGCTACTTCCTTTGTCTATAAGCTAATATTTCCCTGCTCCAAACCGTTCTAGGGCTGAGCACCCAATAGTTAAGTACCTCCTATACAGCCTGCATAGACCCCAAAGTATTTCAGTCTTTCTATTCTTGCACATTCTCCAGCCTGCCTCCCCCTACCCCCGCCACCCTGCTTAGACTGCTCCTTCCTGAAGACACGCTGTCTCAGTGATCCTCCACATCATGGAACAGCTGTCTGGGAAGAAGGCAAAAAGTCTTCTTACTGTATTCCTGCCCCTTTGTCTGTTTGTCTGTTTGTTGTCATTGTTGAGATGGGGTCTTGATGTTTTAACCTAACCTGATCACAAACTTGTGTGATCCTCCTGCCTCAGCCTCCTGAGTTCTGGAATGACAGCATGCCCAGCTTTTGTCTTTATATCTTAAGACACCATCTTCTAGCCAGTCATTTTACCAGACTGTCTGTGGTGAAGGACTAGTTTCTATTTTTTTCCAATTGTTCATGAACTGATACTATTGTGAAATGTAACAATGAATTTCCAGAAAAATTACCATATTCTCTGATGTTATGACAGCGTTAATTGCCATAAAATTTCATAGCATTCATTTGTCTTACTGTGAGCCAGTAAGTTGTGTGTTATCATTGATCTGTGACTGTTGCACTCACTGCACACATTGAGGAGAACGGGTTCAGGGGAAAGAGGCAGCAACCCAATGAGGGGTGCCCAGGTAAGACTAGAGTGAAGCAGAGGGGCTCTGATCCGCTTACCAATGCACAAGTTGGAGGAAGGAAGTGTAGGAGCTGACCGGGTGTGTAATGCCAGCTCTCATTCACAAACAAGATGCAGTCAGCATTCTGGAATCTAACCAGAGTGTTGGCCCCTCTCAGTGCCAGCCTTCGGCAGAACAGTGAGGACGCTGAGAGATGACGCTGTCTTCCCACAGTGCCAGTATGTGGCATATGAGTCTTCTACAATGGCATTACCATCACATAGGTAGAAAGGACCTACAACTCTAATTTCTTTTCTTTCTGACTTTTTTTTTTTCTTGTGTGGTGCTGGGGTAGAACTCAGACCCTCGTGGAACCTGGGCAAGCACTGTTACTGAACTGCAGCCCTATCTCTGACTATGAGTTTCTTCATGTGGCCTCCAGTGATAAAACTCAGACATGTTTCAGAAGTTTGTGGGTTACTCAGAGCAAAGTCAGGAAGAGACCACACAGCAAGGGAAAGTCATTGGTGAGAGAGCAAAGTGCATTGAATTAGAATTCTTCAAAGAGAATGTAACCAACCCATAGAGGGATAGGGACTTTGTACTTTACAAGAAGAGATGGGAACTAGAAACACTTTAAGCATAGACCGAGAAATGGAATTCTAGACAGCACAGAGACAAGGACAAAACACTGAATACAATGGCCCTTCTAGGATTATCATCAAAAGTCTGCTGAAGAAGTTTTTCTTTAACAGTTATAATGTGTGTGCTGTATTGACTCAGTTGTCATTTTAGCAGAAAATTAGGCCTGAACCCTACAGTAAAAACTCCTACTGCAGTTTTGAATTTTGAAAATTCCCTCAAAGACCTAACTTGGTAAAACTAGTACCTCAGAGAAACAGTGAGGACTGTCTTGGGTCAGACTGTTAGCAAGCCACTTTCCCCTACAGAGTGGCTCTCACACTGGGCCTTTGTCTCCCTTGGAGCTCTTGAATACTTTGCAATCAGTTTTCAGGAACCAGACCCTCTAACCTTTAACCTGTGTAGAGTTGTGCCTGAGGTCAAGCCCTGTGTCCCAAAGCTCCAGTGTTTGTCCCCGTGTGT